CACAATGATGAGTGCAATAAACTGTCACAAGCTAGCTCAGTCACCGAGAGGCTGGGAGATGGATCTGGCTGGAAACTTTTCTCTCCAGGTTAGTCTTTAGGTGGATTTACTCTCCAGGTGGCCAGGCAAACAGTTGGGGAAGGGATATGCAGAATGAGGATGAGCAGCCGAGCTCCATGAGACAGGGAAACCATTTTTAATTACCTCCTCAAAGCCCACATATTAAGTGGAAACATGTTACACACAGCCTTTGCAAAGGTCTCTTAACAAAAAATCACTGAACTTTAGGTATAAACAAGGCTCAGACCAGAACAATAACGCGTCCTCATGCTGTCTCCTGCTCTATTCTCCTCATCACTGAGCTCTTCTTTCAGCATAGGTCAGATCTTTTTGAAAGTCCATTCTGTTCCCTTCCCTGCTGCATGTGGTTTCTCTTCTTCTTCTGCCCTCTTCTTCATTTACCATTAGTCTTCTGTCCTTTTCCTTTTCTCTATCAAGTGTTTTCTATTGTTGTCTTTACCTTTGATGCCTCCGCAAGTCTCAACAGCTAATAGTATCTCTGGTGATGCTGATGTGAATTTAGAAATAAAAATACTGTGAAGTATACTGTGAAAGTATACCAAAATATCCCCAAAATTGCAACCAAGATTTTATTCCAGTCAAAATTATTTTCCCTTCTGTTTTTCTGTGTGATCACTGAACCAACCCCTTCTTTAGCTTTGGCCATCCCCTCCTACCAATGGCTCACCCCGTCTAGTGGTGTCGTGCTCGGTCTTCCTTCTACAGCTTCTAGCTCTCCTCAGGCACCAGGACATATTTAGCATCACCGAAGACAAGAGCTTTCCAGTTGTTTGCTACAGTGTTAAATGGACATGCTTTGTCTTGATCAATAATGCAGGGTTGTGTATGTATAGTGAGTGCTGTGTATGCACAGCTTCCCTCAGCAAGGTGGAGTAGCACATAGGCGGGAATTTGTGATTTTGTCCCCCTCAGTGGCTGCTCAAGAAAGGGAAGATCAGTCCCACTAGCAGACGTTCTCTTCCTTAGCCTAAAGTGCAGACAGGATAGACATCCTCTTTCAGGTCTTTCAGGAGTCAGAGGCACACACATTTTAACTTGTGATTCCCACATCTGTACTTGCAGTGTCTAAACCGATCGGTGTTACTGTTTCCTACCCAAGGACCCACTCACAAAGCTCATCTCCGAGTCAATCTAGAGAGGTGAGAATGTCAACATCTAAGTGAAAGTTGCAATAAGTTGCTGTATGCCTTACTGTATTTAAAAAAGGAAGAAAAATTCTTTTGAAAATTTTATCCAGAGGGATTTTCTAAGTTTGTCTTATGTGCAGTTCTACACACACACACACACACACGCTCATACACAGTCTCACATAGATTTTTTTTCTTCCCTTACATATTTCCTCCTTACTGGAGTAAATACAGTTTGTGCACAGAGAAATGTAGGTTTACAAGCTTTCCAAGATAACAGCATTGTCTTGATATTAGACTATATTTCCTTGCTTTCCACCACTGCCATTTCCAGAGTTTGTCATTAAAATAAAGCTCTTAAAAAGAAGCCAAGAGGAGGTTCTTTTCCCCATAACCACTAGTGTTTTTGAAGGAAGGGAAAAGCTGAAGATTTAATAGCTTAAATACAACACCCCGATTAAGATTCAGGTATAACAAAAATAAATGTCTTAAAAAACAGACCACCGTCATTTCTAGACTCCTTTACCTGAAAGAAAGCATCCAGTTTTACAAGTAGTTAAACAGTGCTGAGCATGACTTGAAGAAGAAGGTCATTCTTCAGTGAAGCTTAAGATCTTGCAACATTATATCTTCAGTTAGAATAAAAAAGAAATGATCCAAACCCATGACCATTCTTGGCAATCAACAGCCTATGAAATTGCTGAGAACCTGAAAGCCAACATCTCATTAAAAGAACCTTTGCTTCCTCCTCTCTTTTGCCATTTCTCCACCCACCAGGCTTTCGTCCCTTCAGCTTGAAGGCACCACATGTGTCAGTGGTATTTTCAATGGCTGTGTTATTTTCAATGGCTGTGTGGAGCAGTGGCTCAATATAGAAGGAAGAGGTGTCAGCAAGATAGGAGAAGTCTAGCAGGAGCACATGCAAGACTTTGTTCTGTAATTTAGCCAGGGTTTCCCACAACAACCTTCTAATCAGCCCTGAGCAAGATGTATTGATGTCGTCTGACAAGGACATGGTCTTTTGTTTCTTGGAAAAGGAAAAAAAAAGCCACAGTCAGGCCTAAGCTCTTTAACTGGAATTTCTCACTTCCCTGGTTCTTTGCCAGGCTTGCTTTTGCTATCAAACAATCAGCAGACAACAGAAAGGCTTTTGTTTTTCTAGTGAATTTAAGTCTTCTGTGAACTCCAAATAGCTCAGCAAAAATCAAAGTTCTACAGGATTTTCCACCTTCAAAACGCTGATGGTGACTTTCTTTCAGGCTTCAATGCTACTATTGCAGTAATTAAGCTGACTGAAGACGTGCATATGCTGTGCTATAAAGGGAGAGCTGGCACCCACACTCTGTTTATGTTAAATTGATGTTTGATTTACTATTAATAGTCCTTTGAAAAGAGATGAAATGACAAATCCTGTATAGGGGTCTGAGAGTTGCACATTTCTCATACAACGTGCTGCAATATTGGTACAGCACACGGAAAAGGCAGATGCAGGTCTGTATCTGTATCCCCTCGTCTGCTCCAGCCAGCACAGTATGAGAGTTCATTAACTTGATCGAAAGCAGAAATGCCTTTTCTCCCCAACCCATTAGAGAGATACAGATTCAAACTGGCAGAGAACCTGCTCCAAACCTGCTCAAACAGCCCCCTAAATCACAGCCTCATCAGTGGCTCTAAGCCATGGAGCTGGACTGCGGCTTCTAAAAAAACAGTTTGTTTTCAGCAGTGGCTAAACTCATCCTTCAGCCTCTTGGATGCCTTTGCGATGGGAGGCACTCGGACAGCATCCACTGCATTGCTCTCCAGACACGCCTGCCAAGGGTCTCGCCCCCCGCAATGGGCACGACTGGAGTGAACAGCTAAGCTTGCTGAAGCCTGACGTGAATTGTGCCTAATCAATCCCTTAGAAAATCCTGGAGCTGCTCCTTAGACCTTACTAGGCAGTTTCTATAAAACCTGAAAAAAGTAATCTGAATGGAGGCAATGGTCGGGTTAGACAAACACAGCAAGAGAAAGGCCTCCACAGGCAGACAGCTTGCTGCTTTTTGGCTTTCCATACCCCACTTCACATTATACATCATTCAAAGAATAGATGCAAACCAGGCTGAAACAGTGCCTGGCTAAAATATAACTCCCAAGCCGCCTGCAGTTCCTTGGTATATCAGGCGTCCTTCTCTGTGTCTGCCTGTCCAGCCCACCAGTACCACGCTGGAACCAGCTGGTGGGGTGACAGGGCTGTGCAGGGCGGCAGCACCCCATCCCTCTGTGCACTGCTGGCACGTAGCACCCACCGCTCAAAGCCTTGCAAGGGGGCAGGAGCAACAGAAGCACCAGGGAGCTGCTGTGTCTCTCAAGAGATGCAAATGGGCTCCCTGAGGAAAAGTAGGGGCTGACAGCTACTGTGCTGTGCAGAGATCTGCCAACCAGCTGACGGATGATGCCTGGCCTTCTGCAGGGACTGGGGACCAGTTGGCAAAGGGGAGAGAGGAGACGGCTCTATTTTTCCATGGCTAGCCAAGGGAGTATAACTTCCCTGTGGGCTCTTTTATTTATCATGGGCCCACCACAAAATGGAGCTGCATTTTGCAAGTCTTTGTGTGTGCGCAGCAGAACGCAAGCCACCCCTCTGGAAAACCACCGCAGGACATAAAGAGCACTATGTGTCACAGCGGCTACAACTGCAGTAGCAAACCGAACTGGGCCAGGGCATGGATCCCACCACTGGCATCTGAGCATCTGCACTATTTCACCTCTGGTTGTGCTTATTGGCACTGTTTGGGCCTGTGCCAACTGTCCCGGGGAATGCCAGCGCATGTTTTGGTGCTGGGGATTTTTCGCAATAGGCAGAATTGATGAGGTTACTTTGTTTGGGGAGGCAGACAGCTTACCTATATGATTGCAAGCCATGCTACTTGCTGTCAGGGCTGGAGAAGGAGCCCTGGTCTGGCTTATTTGCTGGTAGAGATATAGCCATCAAGGCCAGGACTGGCCTGCTTCTGTGCAAAATTTTGTAATTATTGTTAGAACTCTTTTTTAATAAAAAGCCATAGCTATGCTAACCAAGAAAAGCAAATATAAGGTACTAAAAATGCATGTTTGGTTATTTATTAAATTGGTGAAAGAAGAAGTCAGATATAGTATGTCTATATTCCTTTTTTATGCTAAAAATACCTGCCAAAGGCTAAATCGAGTAGTTTATAAACCCAGTGATTCTCTGACTTTACACATTTTATTTTCTTGCCTGTCAGGCTCTGGAAGGTTGGCTGCTCCCGATCTAGGGCAAGCAACATTTAACATCATAGCAATCAGCAGTGATCAAAGCTACTTCAGCTGAAAGTTAATTTTTTCCTGTGATACCGAGTATTATTTACTGTGGTGCACACCAGCTGTGTATGATCCTTTCCTCTGAAGGGGTAAGTCCTTGGTGAGGCACAATGGCACCGAACAAGGTAACTGTGTTTTCTGTTTACAATATCTGCTCTGAGAAGTGGCTCTGCTGTCAGCGGAAACACTGCCAGGGGCGAGAAGAGTTCCTTAAAATGTCAAAGCTATCATTACTCTCACTTCATCAAAGATCTCACTGAGACAAATTGCGGTGAAGTTCACCCTTTCCTGAGGATCCTGCCTGTCAGGAGGCTCAATACCTCCGTTCCCCAAACCACAGGCCCCTTTCCCACGGCAGGGCACGAGGCTGCCTTGGCTTCACATGACAGACATGTGATGTGCCTCCGTCCTGAGAGCCACGGGGACACAACGGGAGGAAGCAGATACCCTGAGATAGCATTTCTCTTTCCTCTTCACGTTGTTGCCTGTGAGGAGTTCCCTACAGACGTCTACAGCTTTAATCCCTTTTTAAAACCCCCTCTTGCTGTGATGCTTACAAAAACCAATCCACAACTCAATGTGAAGGTTCAGTGACCTGAGACAAGCGTTCGTTAAGTCGGGGTGACTCCACCAGGCAGACTGTCCTTCCAACAGCCCCCCTCAGGGCATGCTCCTCAGTGCCTGAAGTTAGGTTTTTCAGAGGAGTAGTCAGAAAAAAGACCCCCTTCTCTCCATCAGCGGCAAGACTCTAGCAAGACGGCTCCCCCTGGGTCAGGGTCACTCTTAGGGACCTCTTCCCTTCTTTCCTCTCCCTCCACCCCATTTCCACAGTAAGTATTTGAGTTCCTCCGCAGGCTGTAAATAGAAGTCAACAGGAAGGGCAGGCAAGGTTGATCAGCTTTGCACGCAGCAGGAGGTGCTACTGCAGTCATCAAGAATTAGCGCACGGGTTTCAACCCCAGGGCAGAGAGATGGCAAGGATGTTACACCACATATGCAAGTCTCACCTTAGCATCACTGAAAAAACTCCAAGAAGGCAGGCTCACTTACAGGTAGCATGACGCCACTGCCTACAAATCATCCACTCCAGATTTATACCTGTGTTGCCCTTTGCATCCCTTCTTCCAAAGGAAGCATTGCAGCCTTGCATTAACAATTCCCATTAAGAAAAAAAGAGAGCGATATTAACAGATTGCAATCACCTGCAAAACATTTGGAAAAGAAGAGCTCCTTATCAACTTATGTAAAATCATTAAATAAATTCAATGTTATTTATTCTCTACGATGATAAGCAACTCATGTATTGGTTTGGGATATTCTGTGATAAAGGAAGATAATTTTCTCATTTTTACTGACAACATTAAAACCCAGGGAGACTTTTCATTGACTAGTTCATTTTAATTTATCCCAAACAGCAAATGACAATTAAAAACAGTGCAGCACAGCAGTGACACAACAGAGAAATTCTGAAGGCAGATTTTACAAATGAAAATGCCAATAAAGTTTGTTGGGTTTTTTTGTTCTTCCAAGCGGAGTAGAAACTTGCCTCCATCAATCGTTTCCCAAGGCCAGCTCTTGGGGCTGGTGGTGGATGTCATAACTGTAAGTTTAGCAAACGTGCATGTGGAAACCTGATGGGTTATTTATAAAGTCTCCAATGTAAATATTGATGAGCCAACTGTTCAGCTAAGTTACCCAGCATACATATACCATACATGTGAATGCGAAACCTAAAAACCTTAGCCAGCAATGAAACTCTCTGGATATGGAAAGACTCCCTTTGCGGCCTGCGGGTCCGTAGTTGTAGTTCCCCAATAAGTGGTGATATCAAAATGTAAAGACAGCTAATCTCAGTGCTCAACTCTTTGTTTCCTACAAGGATATTTCAGAACTTTCCCTTTACAAAGATTGTTTATATTTTCAAAAAATAAAAGATAAACATATTTGAGTGCTCAAATTGGTTATTTCCCCCTAGAAGTTTTGACCTCCACCTGCTGTCATCCAGGGATGCTCTTTTGAGTCTGAACGTCATCAGTCTTTAGGTTCCTCTCCTAGGTCCAACTGCAAGTGGACCACAGCCCACAGGTTTGTAGCTTTGTATCCCATCCACCGAAATCATATAGAAGCAGGTCAGAGCCAGGTAGTATGTGTGGTGCAAAGGTCTCTTATTTTACTCCTAGATCTTACATTGCTGACAAATGAAGGAATAGAAAAAGAAAAAAAAAAAGGGAGTTTGTGGCCTAAGGAGGAAGCTGAAGAGCTAAAAGTTTCTTTCCACAATGTATAACCGCAACAGGACCTTAAGAAAACTAATTCAAAGCCTGCAAGTCTTACATCTGCTCCAAATGCATCCGAGAGATCATTATGATTTGCATTTATCTCTCAGAGACAGAGGAAGCCCAAAAGTAGTAAAGAGTTGAAACTCTGCATCAGATCACTGGGGATTTTCTTGATCCATATACATGGACAGCCCAAAAGGACTGGGAAGTCTTTAGCTTAAAGGCTCCAAGTTCACGCTCACTGGAAAGGGAGGCTCTTCAGGCTGTGCTTTACCATGGCGGGTGTCATGATACTATTTGCAATTCTATCAACTTAGAGTGAAGATGATGGAGTTGTATTAGCAGTCCCAGCAGGGGAAGAGTTGAGATGTAGCATCAGATAATTTAGGGAGAGATTTTGGTTTAAAACCTAACTACAACCCGGACTGCTGGGAGATGGGGAAAATGGAGCTGTTATAATTTGCTGATTCTCCAAAAGCAGTATGTTCTGCAGAGACAGCTAGATTTTGACTAAGTTTTGGCAAAACCCAACTATGGGTTCAATGGAAATGTGCCTTTTGTTCAAGTTGTCTTACCTAGGTCCCAGCCAACTCATCTCTTCTACTGTCTTGAAGTCAGAGAGCCCAGCATCTGATGTAACAGCCAATGCATATTTCTTTCCCGTCTGAAGCAGAATTCTTTTCTTCTCATTCCTTTGCCCTTTTTTCTGATTCTTTTTTCCACCAGCAGAAATAATACCCTAGGACTTATACCAGAGAAGCTAATCATATATGTCCTGCCTTTTTTTTAATGAAAATGCAAAAGCAAGGCTATTCCTTGTCTCCCTGACAGTGCCACTGACTTTACATCGTTTTCTCACCAGTGTGTTGCAGCAAGGGGAAGTCCTTTGATGAAGAAATGGGCATCTTGCCCTAGTTTCATGGCCTAGTTAATGGCTTGATGTTAGGACCTAACAAGAACTACCTGAATGCCTCAAACACTTTTCCTCTCTCTTTTCTCTCTTCCTTTCCTCACCACCAGCTAGCCTACATCTCGCGATCACAGTAATGATGTTGTTACACATCTCTTACATTCCTTCTGCCACCCTACTCCTTCCACCCAGGAGGGCTTTTCTGCAAGTTACAATGTTTTATGATTGTTATCTCATTTAATAGACCATATAGCAAAGTTAGTATTAACTGTATATACACCTCATTGTTGTTGTGGTTTAACCCGGCAGGCAGCTGAACACCACCCAGCTGCTCACTCACTCCCCCCCTCCCTCAGTGGGATGGGGGAGAGAATCAGAAAAAAAAGGTAACACCTGTGGGCTGAGATAAAGACAGTTTAATAAAAGAATAACAACAAAAATAACAATAATAATAAAAATAGTAATAGAGTTTACAGAATATGCAAAACAAGTGATGCACAATGCTCACCACCTGCTGATTGATGCCCAGCCCATCCCGAGCAGCAATCCGTCTCCCCACCCTGCTGATCGATGCCCAGCCCATCCCGAGCAGCAATCCCTCTCCCCATGGCTAACCTCCCCCGAGCATGACATCATACGGTGTGGGACACTCCTTTGGCCAGTTGGGGTCAGCTGCCCTGGCTGTGCCCCCTCCCAGCTTCTCGTGCACCTGGCAGAGCAGGGGAAGCTGAAAAAGTCCTTGACTGGTGTGAACCCTGCTTAGCAACAACTAAAACATCAGGGTGTTATCAACATTCTTCTCGAACTAAATCCAAAGCTCAGCACTATACAAGCCACTAGGAAGAAAGTTAACTCTGTCCCAGCTGAAACCAGGACAATTGTACTTGTGCCTGGTGCCTTGTTGTTCGCTATTCGGTGACCCTCTGTGTACCAGGACAATTGTACTTGTGCCTGGTGCCTTGTTCGCTATTCGGTGACCCTCTGTGTGACACCATATGTGGCAGACCTGGCATTTACCTTGCTTTTTTTCCCCCAAACTGTCTTCATCCTTCCTCTGAACTGGTTCAGGGGGTTCAGCTGTCACACACCAGCTTGTTCTCTTTCTTCCTTTCATATGCACATAAGAGACCATTTTTTTCCTTCCCTATAGCCCTGTGTGCTCAGACCACCGGTCTCCCTTTACACCTGCAGTGCTATTGCATTCTCCCTATGAGGGGGCTACTTCCTATTGGCTTCACCTGGGATATTGAAGACCTCAACAGCCTGGCTATTTAGTAGCATGCAGAGGACTTTTACCCTCTAGCTGTGCAGTAGGACACAGGACAATTCCCCGTTGCATTATTTCAAGAAGCCTCTTAAACAAAACCACACTAAAGCTATTGTGGTGACTTTTGTCCAGAGATTCAGGAAATGCATTTCATTTCCTTCAGTGAAGACTTTGGTTTATCGCAACAAAGTCAAATCCTTCGGGTTTTCATTGCATTAGTCGTGCTAGTGAGAGCTGAGCGTTAAACCCCAAAACAAATAACAGTTTAATACATTACACAACAGGCAAGCAGGCGTTGCCAAGATCTAAAAGGCAGAATGTTTGCAACTTTATTATTGAGCAAGACTTTCTTTCTCTTCTTTACAACTGAGCTCTGAAGATTGCTGCATAAAAAGAAAAGAGCCAGCCAAACCAAAGAGAACCTTTCCTCTGAAACAGAAGATTAAATGTAAATGCTGAACGGCATATCCTTAAAACCTGGAGATGAGATTGTGAAAAGACTTGGTAGCTGTTATATTCTTACTTGTTCTGGGCTTAAGAGGAAAAAAGTCACTTATCAGGTAAATTAATACAAAATTTCCTACTTACCATACATGTAAAATCATCTTAGTCTCACTAATTTTAATAGTTCAGCTCTCTTCTTCTGATTGAAAATTCACTTCCCTGCTTGTTCTCCTTTGCCAGCATTTTCTGCTGACAAGTGTAATATACCTTGGTATATTATAGCAAAGGAAGGGGAACGCGTATTCGAATGAACAGAGATTTTATGGGCTCAGAAAATTGGGATTTAAAGTGCAGGTAAAATTCACTACATCACAGCCAAAAAAATAAATCCATTGGCTGTCAGTAATAAGTATATTCATAGTATATTCTTGCATGGTTGAGGCAGTAAAAGAACTTAAGATTGTGTCTTCACTAGAAAAACCAGTTGTGTTAGCAGGAAATAATTAGTAAGCCACATCCACACCACTTAAAATCCCTATGGGGCCTAGGCACTGGTAGATTTTTTTCTTAGGTAGGTAAATAAAGTAAGTACTGTGTCCCAGGCTGGTGGGACACGCCTGTCATCTCACCGACCTTGGGAAACTAAAGCGGGCTAATCTACACTAACATTAACGCTTTCCTGGCAGTGAAAACAAAACCTGAGTAGGATCCAATAGAAATAGGATAGCAAATTCTCAGCTTTGCCTGGGGACTCCCCTCTCAATTCACCTCGATGGGCACAAGCTGATTTGCGTAGAGGGCAAAGAAAGATTTTTTTCTCCTTTCTCCCCTGAGCTGCTCTGGAGCCAGACTCCCTGAGTGACGTGGTCCCTTGCAAGTATCCTGCTCTTGGGCAGTTCCCTGCACCTCAGAGGAGGTGCATTCCCACCGTCCTCATCATCGGCAGGCAGAGGGCTGTGCCAGAGGATCAGCTTCCTCATAGCAGCACACAAAGCTCAAACCAAAGCCAAGGTATTTATTTTCTAAAATATGGTGGATAATGTCTTAGGAAAGGTGTTAAATGGTGTAGATTTCATTCCCATCATGGCAAACAGCTTCAATTTAGATATGTAAATATCTCTCTTTGATCTGGAGAAATAAAGCATGGGTGCTGGTTCGGTAGATGGAATGATGTCATGCTTGAGATTACGCCCTCATTTCCTCTCGGTGCTTTCCCACACCAGGCACACACCGAGCCTGTCTATTGTTAAACTACGCGTGGCATGCTGGTGAGCAAGCCAGCCAAAGACCAGGAGAAATTGCTATTTTAGTTTTCTCTTCTTAAGTTGAGACTGCCGCGCTGACACAACTAAGCACAAATATTTCCAGAAAGCTGCATTTTCAGGGTTCTTTTTCCCTCAATACAAAGAGCAGCAAGTTATTATTCTGTCAGTGAGCAAACAAGAACACCCACAACCATTTGGTTGAAGCAGGTCCCTGCCACTGCCACGCAGCACGGTGCTCAAAATGACGGCTGAGCTGAGGGACGTACGCACAGATCCTAAAGCACCAGCTTCTGCTTCCAGGTGGCTCCAGCAGCTGAGCCCGCTGCCCCAGCGGGACTCCACGGCTGCGTCCCCCAGATGCCCCCTCTCCTCATTCCCTTCTTATTCCTCCTCCTCCTCCCCACTTGTGCGCGCGCATGCAGGCACGCAGCCGGTTCAGAACCCCGGCGTCAGGAAACAACGCGTTTGCCTGGTGCCGCAGAACCAGGCTAATCCGAAGCACGCTCGCATTTGCAGCGGTCAGGGAGCACAAAGCAGAGCCGGGCAGGTCACAGCAGAAAGAACCCAGGCCTGGAGATGAAAATTATTCTGTCTTTAAACTCACAGCAGAGAGATAAGGCAAAAAAAAAAAGAAAATAAATTAAAAATTATTAGAAAAAAGACGGGTCAGCTGCAACCTCCCCTCCTAAATTCAGAGGGACAGTGTGTATCTCCCTCCTGAAGCTTTGTAAATTTGAGCAGTTTTGCTAGCTGTAAGATTTACGGGGAGGGAGGGTTAGTAAATCCTTTGCATCTCCAATGTGCCAGAAATTTCCCTAGAAGCAGAAGACTTCGTATCACATCCTCATCTTTATAGCAGATTCTAGAAAAATACTATGTGACAAGCACAATCAAATCCACGCACAATGAAAGTAGACGTAGAGAAACGATTTTATAGATGCAAACTAACATGTGTTCGTCAGTGTGCTGCAGTGCCAAAAAGCTTAAAGTTGTTTGAGGAGGGAGGAAAATCGACTCCAGAAAAGCAAAATTGTTATAGATTATGGTCAGCCAGTGCCAGTCCAGTCTATCCTGATGCAACTTTTCTTCTTCGCAAGAGAGCGGGCTAACAGAAAATGCGTATCTGAAAACAGAGAGTAGAGAGAGCAACTGGCTTGTGCCTGACAGGAATTTCTCCAGCAGCACGGAGAGGCTCATTAGAATTTTTCCCATGACATGCCACAAAAGATGGCTGGAGAAAACAAAGTGAGATGCTGGAGCTCAGTATATTTCTTTGTCCTTGAGAAGCCTGGCCTTGCTGAATCTCACGGGCTAATGCATGCATAATTTGGGGCAGCTGATTAAGTTTATTGTGTTCCCGACGAAATCGAGAGGAGGGAGGGAGGGAGGGGGAAAAGAAACAAAGTTGGCTTTAATTAAAGCTCTGCAATTGTCTTTAATATTTACATAATGTGCTATCATAATTGCCCCTGATTGGAGACTTAAGATGTGTGGAAGAAAATGACACGCTGGAAGTCCCCAGCTGAGGAAACAAAAAGCAAGACAGCCCCTTCCCCTTCCCCCCATCACTCCAAGCCAAATCAAAAGCCACTGAAGAGGAATTGCGCAGGGGTGCTTTATAAGGGCGAGGGCTCTGCCATGGGCGCAGGCCAGCCCACCTCCTTCCACGCCAGTAGGCTGGGAGCAGATGGCTGCACTGGCAGAGACCGTAGCATCCAGGGGCTTCGCACACCCGGGCAGGCGTGTGCTGCTCCTCCAGCGTGGGGATGGACTCTTGGCAGAGGCTGGGGAGAGCTCCTAAACCCGCTAAGGGTGTCTGGTGCTCATTTCCAGGTTTAACTGAGAAGATCCCAGTGGGGAGGAGACCATGAGCTCCACAGGAGAAGGAAGCAATGCTGCCTCAGAGGAGGGTAATCGTTCCTTAAGATCCATACCACTGATGTCAATCATAAGGAATTTTTTGGACAGGAGATGAACATGTAACTCTACTGGAAATTAATAGAGCCATCAGTGTTTCTTAAATTTAAAAAGAGCGAGAAGTCTAGACCTGAATCAAAGATGGGGACCTCCTGCAGCCTGGGGCTGATCTCCAGTCTAGGTCCGAGTGCTACGGATCAGAACCACGTCTGTCGGGTCCCAGGCTGCAGTTACGGATCTCCTGATGTCTGAATGCAGATGCTTGTAACCATTTGCCCACGTAGCATAGGTAGCTCCCAAAGAGATGTTTTAAGCACCTGTGTGAGGTCCCTTTTGATTTGGGATTGCAGACTGTTTGTAATTACATGCGAAGGCAGGCACCGTTCTGCTCTCAGTGCTGCTGCAACCACTTGGGGGGAAAAATAATCATTGCAGTCTCCCCCATGGAAAACTCTCTTCTGTTTTCTCATTGACTTCCCTCAGAGAAAACAACAAATAAGTACAGTTTATCTTCTTTTTGTGAAAAGAAGTATATCAAGAATGCTGGTGATAAAGAGGATTTCATCAACTGGGAGCAATAATAAAGTTTCCATGACATTGATGTGCTTTTACTTTGTACCAGACCACAGTGTTGTGCAAAAACAGGGTTTTAGCTCTGCATGTTTTTCTCCGATTTTTAAGATCTGTACCTAAAAGCGTCACGACTGGATCAATGTGTCCTCTGTAGATCGTGCAGGTCCAAGCTGCATTCACAAGGGCTTCCACAGGTTCACCTAATGAGAAAAATGCTGATTTGTTTTCATTTTTTAGTCTTAAAAATGTCATCACTGAAAGTTCTGCTGCTGCTTTTTTTTTCCTAGCAGCCATGGAAAATACACAAAGTGCCACAATTCACGTTTAATGGCTTAAGGGTGGAAATTAGTGTTTGCAAAGAGCAATGAGTGAGAAAAGCTCACCAATACCCCTTCCCAGCAGCTGGATGAAGGAGAAGCAGCATACAATGTACTGTCACATATACTTCCAGCTTGTACGCTACCTTCATTACACGCAGCTGCTCTCCATTTCTGCTGCAGCAGGAGACTGAGGGAGAGCAGAACATTTTTGGTTTAGTCCTCAAGGCAGAATGCCTGTTACAGCACCCTACATCTAACCCACCTTTTGCACTAGCGATCCTGCTGAGAGGTGTTTGCTGTATTGCAGAGAGTCTGTGCAATGCCCTTTGGTTGGATTGCTGTTTATAGTGATTTTGTGGCGGTGATAGAGTGGTATGATCTCACCAAACAATAGCAATGAAGCAGCTGGCACATGGGGAATACACCCGCTCTTACCAGCCACGCTTGGAATAGCAGCTTTCTTGGAGCACGTGGATT